GGCTTGCAACCTCTTCTCTCGCATGGCGGCCGTCCTTTCTTGGATGGCTCTCGTCTCCGCTTGGATAGCTCTTGTTTCTGCATCCAACTTTTCTCCCCAGGAGTCTAACTTCGCCATTAAATCTTCTTTGTCTCTCTTCCTATTTTCCTCCATCTCTTCCTTCTCTTTCCTCCTCTTTTCCTCCATCTCTTCTTTGTCAACATTTAACTCTTTCAGCATTTCCATTATTCGTTGCAACTCTTGTTTCTCCATTTTGTAGCAGTAAAATTCTCTGTGGCGTATTTAAGCTCGAGAAAATTCTGACACCAAATTGTCACGTGTCTTGAGATCGAATCTCGTCGGTCACATGTGTAAGTTCTAATCCCACTTCTGACACCAGTTGTCGCGTATCGGGCGTATATCGCGACAAATAACTTCACGAGGTATTTGATGTAGCGAATTTTATTTCACATTCGCACTTACAATCACCCAAATTACAGATTTACGCTTACTGCTATCTGCAGTATCACAATTAGTACACTCCAAATGCCACAAGACAACTGACTAGTTGCTGGCTAACTCGGAACTAACTTGGAGGTAGCTCGAGGACTGACTCATAGGTAGCTCCAGGACTGACTGTGAATAGCCTTCGCTGCGCCGCATGTAGCCTCGATCGGACAATACGGAAAACGGCCACGTAATAGGCACCCTTGTTGCCTGGCGCTGTGTTGCTAGTAACGCTAGCGGAAGTAACCGCTGTTACTACTTCGTGATGTCACCGCTGTTGACTCGCGTTGCCTAGCGACCAGGATGCTAGGACTCGGCTAACATCGGCTCGCTTCGGCTTCACTCGGCGCATCACGGCTGGTGGGGGGTGGGGGAGGGGCGTCATCCATAGCTCAGCATGTCACAATATGTAGTAAAACTCTGTAGTTTTGGCTTTATTCTCAAGAAGTACACCACTGTCGCCACTGAAGTATTTCAGTTCCCAATGAGTGACTATAAAGGCATGTCTGACACATGCACACTCAGTATATGCAATCCTGATTGGGGTCTGGTGTTTAGAGATGAAACACGATCACAGAAGCTGAGTGACAAAACCACCTTCAGCCTAAACACTGCAACATTTCACTATGACCTACTACAGTTCTGACTGCCTCATTGATAACAGATGTCCTTATTGCTGTGTGGGCTGAATTTGTACGACCTTTGCAAGCTCTAGGTTGTTGTGAATGAATGAACTGTGTGACGAAAACTATTTGTTCTTCCAAATATCGACTGCAAACCATTATCTTGTGCAGTCTATGAAATCATCACTAAAACAATTATACCTTCAGAAACACTGTTACAACTCCAGTGGCACACCCTATGAATGTCCTTATAATACTGGCCTCCTCCTTAGCCACTAAAATCTCACATTCGGACACTTCTTAGCCACTTGTTGAACCTCAACCCCCTTTCACATCTTTAGACATCGGCTGACATATGGTAACCTTGGAAACAGTGCAGCACACAGGGCCACCCTACAGTTTTCACAGTTGTACATTTTTTCATGATGTTGACCCATTTCATTCTAAAAAAATGAA